CCCTCCCTCTCCCTCTCTCCTTCTTCAGGCAGGGTCTCGCTATGTAGTCCTGGCTGGCCTGGAACTCACTATGTACAACACCAGGCTGACCTTGAACTCAAACAGGTGGGCCTGCCTCTGCCTCTTGAGAGCTGGGATTAAAGGTTTTGAAGCCACTACCATGCCTGGCACTTTGTGACTTCAAAAGAGAGAGTAGGGAGGCTGCAGCGATGACTCAGTGGTTCTTGCAGCTAGCCCAATTCCCATTATCCATATGACAACTTATAAGCATCTATATTTCCAGTCCCGGGAGATCCTATGCCCTCTACTGGCCTCTGTGGATACTGCATGCAATTCTCTCCTTTTCTCTCCCCCTGCCCCCCCCCCCCCCCGGACATTTTTAAAAAGGAGAGAATATGTACATATATAGATATCATGTATGTCAATGTGCTTTTAAGCAAAGAATCTAGTTCAAAACTTAAAACTGCATTTTTCCCCTCCACCTCCATTTAGAAAGGTAATTAAGTTGGGTGTGGTGACAGAGCAGCCTTGCTACTATTCTCAGTAGAAATACACTTTTCTAATACAAGTAGAGAAAGTCAAGATGTCCCTTTCAGTTCCCTTTTCTACGCAAAATTAATTAAGCCAGCAACTGAACTCTGTCGTGGGAAGAAATGGCCGTACCTGGAGACTTGTGAATTTCTCTATTCATTCATCTCTCGTGGCTGTTTCTTTGGGATCTAATGAAAAATCTAAAACACTGAGAAGTGAAGCTGCTTTTTGTGTGTGTGTGTGTGATATTTTAAGAGGAAGGGGGAGAGTATTAAGACTCCATTTTAAGGCTCGGGAGAACTTATTACTTAATCTGACTAATTATTTAATGGGAAAAGCCAGCATCCTGTAAGGAACATGCTCTAAAATGAGCATGGCTTTGTAAGAGACCCATTGTGTAGAATAATACTAAAAACGGGATGGGAGGGGGCACAGCAAAGTTGGGAATGAGCTCAGCTGTAGAGCACCTGCCTAGAATCAACCAGGGAGGGGCTAGGGCTTAGCTTGGAGGCTTTGGAGATAGTACAGCATTTGGATAAAGGGTGGGTGCATGGAACAATAGTATAACAGTTGTCTCTGACCCGGGAGCACCCCAAGACAAGGGCAAAGACAAAAGGAAAAAACAGATCAGACCACAGTTACAAAAAGACCTCTCACTCTCGGGTTAATATAAAAGGCCAATCTTCTGCTATTAAACTTTCTGCAGGCGGAAACTGCATTAAGAGTTCCTGTAATGGATGCAGAATCCAAGGCTCAACGCAGGCAGCAAAAAAAAAAAAAAAAAAAAAAGAATTACTTTGATTTGAAATTACAAAAAAAAAAATTGACGTCTGATTGTAGCTTTCTTAAAAGGACTTATATAATGGTTATAAATTGCTTAGAGGAAATCACCACCCCTGCACACGAGGCTCACACAATGTATCCATGAAGATTAAACATACATTGTATCAATGCAGATTACACACAGATTGGCGCTTCTAAAGGAGGTTCTTTACCCTCCTGCTCTTTTTCGTCTAAATCTCTGAGCAAGCAAGGAGAGAAAATAACAGGGTAAAACAAGGTGGGGCTTCACTGTAAACATACGTGAATGCAAATGGAAGGCATTTATAACCAGGCTGGGTATAGTTCAGTAGATCACGGGCCCCTTAGCATGTAGGAAACCTCCAGTTCCATCTTCCAGCCTCTCAAAACCTTGATGCTGTGTCTCTGTAATGCAAGTACTCAGAAGTGAAGAATCCAGTACTCAAGGTCATCCTTAGCTACTTACCTAGCTTGTTTGAGACTAGCCCCAGCTACTGGAAGCCCTCTTTTAAACCAACCAACCAACCAACCAACGAGGAATCTTGAGATGGGGATATGGTTCTGAGTATGGAATCCAACATGGCGGGCCTCGATCTTGAAGACAAGAGGTCTGGAATTCTGGCAAAAGCTGGACTCAGGCCATGGCACAAGGTCTATGGAGACATGTCTGTCCAAGTACAGGGTTTGTGGACTGGAAGTTCCCGAGAAAGCTCTTGCTCTGAAGCACTGAGTCCCTAAAGACCACAGCTCATGCTGAAGGTTCACCTAGTATCCCTTTTGAACTTGTTCTTTATTCTCTCATGTATGTGCTGGTGAGGTCTAGGATGCCATGGGATGACTTGTCTGTTCTCACTCCTCGTTTTATGTTTGGTTTTGTAGACTACCTCTGTTATCTTCTTTAAAACAGGAGATCTCGTTTTGGTTTTGAGGTAGGGTCTTGATGTATCCCATGCTGGCTTCAAACTCGAGGCAATCTTCCTGCTTTACTCTACTGTGCCTAGCTGAGAAGTGAGTTTTGAAATACTTCCTTACTAAGGGCTTTCAAATTCAAGAGATTCCCTCAGGAACACCTGTATCAGCTGGATGGAACCTTGAGTAGGACAGGGAAGGCTTTGGCAGGCCAGTGGTTCAAAGGGTTAAATTAAAAACATCAATGCTGAGGCCAAACCCAAACGGAAGTGAACAGCTCTGTTCTGGAGTGGAAGCTGTTCTTCCTCATACCCATGGCCGGTTCCCTGTCTTCCCATGGAGTGTCTGCCTGCCTGGGCTTTGTCACCACAGCTGTTCCCGAACCTGACAGATAAGTTTGAGGACCAGTATGTGTGCCACTTACAGTATCAGGGCCTTGCTTTGTTAGTGGTGGTGCTGTGCCCCACATATATGTATGTGTGTGTGGGCGCTTGTGTGTAGAGTGTGTCTACACATGACAGAATGATAATCTTTGGCTTCACGAGTCACTTCCTGCCTTTGTCAGGATATTTAGGTCACAAGATAAAAATATACAGTGTTGGTCCCCATTGTTCATGTCCAGAGGACTCTATTTTTGACCCCACAACCAACAGCATTTGAGAGTCTCCTCTGCTATGGGACAGAGGATTCCCTGCCGCTCTCCAGCTCCCACCTCTGTCCAGATGTGACATTTAATAAGCACTAGCCCCTTAGCTCTAGAGAAATGGGCTTTTTGCCATTTAGCGGCTCTTGTTGCACCTTTACCAGAGAACACCACAAAGAATAAAAAGCTGAGATCTTGGTACAAAGGGAAAAGGAGAGAAGGAAGAGGAAGAAGGATAAGATTGAAGGAGAGGAAGAGAATGAAGAGAGGAGGAGGGAGAAAAGGAGGGAGGGGGCAGAAGAGGAAACAGCTGTCCCTGCTGGGATTCTGGGAACATTGAAGGCGCTGCCTGGTCTTGAGGTCAACCTGTCCTTCCCACTGGCCACCATTTGTGCTCTTTAGGTCTCCCCCCCCACCTCCTCCTCTTCTCCACCCTCTCTCCCCCTTTTCTTCACCCCCTCTCCCCCTTTTCTTCCCTCTGTCCATCCTCTCTTTGTCCTCTCTTCTTTCTTTCCTCCTTTGTCCTGAGGGATGGACAATACACCCTTTTCCATTTGGGGACAAAGTATCCTCGAATGGCACTTGTCCACCCACCTCTGCTTCAGCGACAGGTACACTCCCGGGCTTCGGGGACTCTGAATAGCCCCTGCATTAAGCCTGACTTTTTTTCTTTGTTCTTCTTAGAGACTCTCTGTTATTAATGGCAAAACCTTTTAGCCATGGAAGTAATGCTGTGCTCCTAACAAGCTATTTGTGGGTGACTTAGAGATATTTCCAAAAGAGTAATTTAATTATATTGGTCTCTGAAAGTATCGAATACTTGGACCATCAAATTAACTTCTCCCCTTTCTCTTTCCCTTTCAAAAGCCACATGCAACTGGGAAGATCTTTGTCCAGAGTCAAGGTAAGAACTTTTAAATATATATAATATATGTGTAATATATTTTAATATAATGTATAATATATATAATTAAAATACACACACACACACACACACATACACACACACACACACATATATATATCCTATAAAATTTATTCCATTTGCTTTACTCATTTGTGTTCACGTACACACCATTGGACACACATGAAAGTTAGAGGACAACTTTCAGAACTTGGTTTTCTCCTGGAACTCACTCCATAGACCAGGCTGGCCTTGAACTCAGAGATCTGCCTGCCTCTGTCCTGAGGGCTAGGATTAAAGCTGTCAGCTACGACCACCTGACTGGCTCTCTCTTTTCACCAAACGAGTCCCAAGAATTGAAGTCAGGCTTGGTGGCAAACACCTTCATCTACTGAGCCATCTTGCTCTATATTTTAATTAAGAGAACGTTGGCTGCTGAGGTAATATAGCCTCTGAGTGGTACTTAGAATAACTAGAGATGATGAATTTCTGTTGCTTTCTAACATTAGAATAAAAGAGAGATGGGAAAAATTATAAAACAATAAGTAAAACTACAGATGATCATATATTCTACCAGTGGTGATAGACTTCACTGTCCCTCTATGTGTGTTTTATTTGTTTTTTCTTTCTATAGATTCTCTAACTCAGATTGGCCTTGAACTTCTAGCCATCCTATCTCTAGCCTTAGCTGGAATTATAGGCCTGAGCTTGTATAACAACTGAGGCAAATCTTTGCCTTGATCTTGATCTGGGGGATATGGACTGGTCTACCCCCATTTTCACCTCCTCCCAGTAGTAGCCTGTGACAGTGACACACAGCTCTTTTATCTGGCTCCACTGACCCTTACGAATCACTGTCCTTGAGGGCAGAGTATGGACAGAGGGGTCCGAAGAAGGACCTGGGATTGACTTCAGTTAGTGTAGTGGCCGAGGCAGGGAGTGCTGAAATGTGGCAGCCCCACACACAGGCCCCTCTTGGTTTCATCACGCCACTGGACCTCTGAGACCCCAGCACTCAGCAGGTGAGCTTAGAAAGGTTCAGACTGAGTGAGTTCAAGGCCAGCCTGGGTTACATGAGAGCCTAGTCATAGGAGTCTCTATTGCAAAACCGATGTGGCCAAAAGGCTGGTAAAGTATTCTGGAGTCAGTGTAGGCAGAGCCTGGGGCCTCCTTGTTTTGTTTCTTGTCCAAAGAAACTGGGCTCCTGGTGAACTGGCTTGACCTCTTTGTCTGGCGCTGTCTGCACAGACTGGAGGAAGTGTCTATCTCACAGGTCTTAGGCCTGCAGGTCCTGTGCAGAAGTTGCCTAAGCTGCACTTTCTGGGCAAATGATGACCCTGAAGCAAGGTTAGAGGTGGGTGGATGATACAGCTTATGAGTTCAACCCTCCTCTTTCTTCCTATCTTTCTTCAGAGCCTTTTTCTGTACATACCTGGCTTCCCTTAGAGCTTGAGGCAGACATCACTGGAGGTGGTATTATATTTTTAATAAAAATAAATTTAACTTAAAATTCCATCTGAGGAAAGGCCAGAGAGCGCACAATGGTACAGGATTTGTTGCATGTTGATTTTAGGCATTGGAAGTGAAGGTGAACCTTTACCCAGAGCGGTAGAGTTCAAGTGTCAATGTTTGAGATGACGTCATGAGTCTCTTTAAAGAACTCGAGGTCTGTACCACCCAAAGTTGGATTGTGGTTGACTGGGATGCCGCACTCCCTGGAATCCACAGGTGCATTCAACCTCTGAGCCCAGGAGCCCAGGAAACCCGCACTGTAGTGCCTAAGAAGTTGAATGGATTTGTAAGAGTCAAAACTTCCTTTTTTTTTTTTTTTTTTTTTCTACTCCGTCCACCAGGAATTGCAACAATACCAAATGCCGATTTTAATTGGAACACCTTCCTCCAGCAATCAGGTACGGCATGACTTCCTTCCAGGGCCTTTGCGGGAGCATCCCTCGCCATCTGCCATCAGATGTTTCAAAGCATCTTGCTGGATCCTGCTTTTCTCTTTCTACAATGTTTCGATCTGCAATAACCAAGTAGTGTGACTTCCACCCTTCCAGTGTGCACCTAGATGTTTTCTTAGGAGGCCTTCCTAACGGTGGGTTTGTGTGAGACTGTACACTTACTCTGAGTTTCATGCCGTCATCTGGCAAGATGGCATAGGCACACAGCCCATAGGTGGTGCAGGGGAGGGGCTGCTTCTGGTCTGTGGTGGAATTCAGAGAAACTTAACCACTTCAGCTTCTGTTCACGGCGTGAAATAAGCTCAGCGATGCTGGTTGGACAAAAGTTTATCGTGAAAAATCTTTTAAATATAGACTGTCCAT